TTCTGGCAACAGGTGGATAGCTGTGGCCACAGACTACACAACGCGCTACGCCATCACACGAGCACTTCTAATAAGCTGCACCACACATGTTGCCGACTTCTTCCTACATGATGTGGTCTTGCAACATAGAGCTCCACGCCAGCTGCTTACAGACAGTGGCCGCACCTTTCTATCAAAGGTCGTAGTCGACATCCTTCAGTCATGTCAAACGAGGCACATGCTCACTATGTCGTACCACCTGCAGACAAACGGACTCACGGAGCGTCTGAATCGAACACTTACAGACATGCTTGCGAAGTATGTTTCTTTCAACCACTCTGACTGGGACCTTGCTTTGCCATACGTTACATTTGCTTATAATTCTTCTCACCATGACACTGCCGCTTTCTCTCCATTTTTTCTGTAGTTTGGCCGAGAACCTACATTAGCACTATCAATCAATCAATCAATCAATCAATCAATCAATCAATCAATCAATCAATCAATCAATCAATCAATCAATCAATTTATTTCCTTTAGGTAAGTTGGAGCACAGGACTAAAATATCAAGAGCTTGACGAGGTCTTGACCCCGTTCACAAGTTGACAAAGCAGCAAGAACGCAGTCAATCATGCACCACAAATATGAAATAAACATACAGGTATAACATCACAAAAAAGTAATACAAAAAGTTTATGAAAACAGTGCTAAGACAAAAAGAGAGTAGTTCAAATGTATGGTCATGAAGTGGCATGAACATGAAAAGCAATAATAAAAAGGAAAGAATGGGCATAAATACAGTCGCATAAATACACTAGATACAGTCATTCCATCTACCGCGATACCGACCAGCGAATATACACTTGACGCTATCACTCGGGCTGCCCACGCACGCGAAATCACCCGCACTCGCTTTCTCGCCTCGCAAGAGAACTAGCAGCGTTTGTACGATCAATGGCACCGTGACGTGCACTTTTTACCGGGTTCATTGGTCCTGCTGTGGTCCCCAACCCATCAACAAGTCGGCTTGTCAGAAAAACTTCTTTTTCGCTACACAGGTCCATATCGAGTCCTTTGTGAGGTTACTCCTGTGCCATACGAAATTGCCCCTGCAGCCTAATCGTGTTCAACTGCCACACAGACCACAGATATCGCACATGTGGCACGCTTGAAGTCTTACCACTCTCCTGCTGATGCTGACGTGCATGTTGACAATTCGTGGGATGATGCACGTGTGTGCCTGATGAAGAAAACGAAGAGTGGTCTCTGCTCGGTGTCTGGTCAACTGGTCATGCCGCTGCTGCTGGTTTGAAATATATTTCATCAACAGCCTCGTCGATACGGCGTCTCTTCTCTTTCGTAACAGTACGATTACTTTGCAACAATCTTAACACTGCATTCTAGTTATCACTGCTGCTGACCTTTGTTTCATGGGCGTAATGAGGATCACAAGACTTGTAGACTGAGCAACTCCTCTTGGCAACAGGGTTGCCCATCTAAACTGTTGGCAGCACTTGTTCTTGGCATCTATTGACCAGAAAATGCTTCAGCTTTTCTTTATTTAGTCATTTTAAAGGACAGGGCATGCAAACACCGGCAGAAGGAGGAGGTCGGGGCATTTCAAAATGCACATAGTGGTGGGAAAGAAGGAGGGCATGAAAGCTAATCTTCACATGCCTATGCAGTATGTGAACCTATTAATCTGGCACATGTAGGGGTTTACAAGAAAGGTAGTATTGAGGTGTTTTGATTTCATCTTCATGGAAAGTAATTGATACTTGCCTCACTCGTGCTCAGCTCTCTATTAATATAAGTTTTAGATGCAAAACAGCTCTTTGACTAGCCTGTGTAATGCCGGCCCTCTGTCCGCACCGTGCTCCCCTGGCCGCAGGTGTTGGGGCGGTGCCAAGTAGGTCATGCCTTCCCTCGCAGTGCGCGCATGTTGACATCACTCTCTCCTTAGCCTCTCTGATGTCTCTCTCGCTTCATCTTCTCCACTGCTCGTAATGTTCGAGCTCTCGTCGAGCGCTAAGGCGCTGAGCCATGCTCCCTCAAAAGCTACAGAAGATAGTGCCTTTTTCCTTTCCTTCAACTACACATTTATTTATTCATTCATTCATTCATTTGCACATCGAACAAACAGTCTTTCTGCGATGAAACTTACAGGAAGCCCAACCGGCCTCCCATGTCCTTGCGTTTCAGACAAATGTTCACTCAAGTAAACGCTACACCGAGTTCTGCTTCAAACTGTTCTTCCAGCTCCCGGGTCGACATCGCATTTCAACCGCGTTCATCAGGGTTCCTTTCATGGAGGTGGTCCATAATCTTATCTTCTTTATAACTGGTTTTATGCCGTGCTTTTCGGAATCGCTTTTTTGTCTTCATGGAATAGGTCGTTGAGTAATATCTTCATTGCTTCCTTTTCAAACATACGATCTTGAAACGAAACAAGGGCTTGAAGCTGTGCTATAATACTTGAAGGAAAAACAGCACAAGAAGGCAGATATTGCGATTGTCGGCCTCTTCGTCTTTCTATCATAGTTTTTCGGTATCATCTTGCACAAGGAAAAGCAATTGTGGAGTGAAAGCGGAATGGTAAGGCAACTGGGTTACTCATGAAATATATTAGGTGTGGCTATGTTGGTTTTTCCGGTCATAAGGTGTCGATGCAGGTCATGAAGTGTTCCAGTAACAGTGTTTGGAAAAAGAGTAACTGTGCACAGTGTAAGAGGCTCAAAGAATAATGCCAAATCTAATGTCATTTACAAAACGGAATTCAATGGCGGTGTAATTTATGTTGCAGCAAATCTAACGTCATCTTTTGCTTTTTGTTTTTTAATTTTTCTTTGCTTTCTTTTGAGCATTTCATTGTGTATTGATGGCAAGTACAATTTATAAATCTGTTTGATGTATATTGTGAGTGTGGCCATCCTATAATTTTTATATTTCAGTGTTAAACTGCTTTCTGCATGTCTTGCGTTCTACCTTGAAACAAGGAACCATGGACCTCGTCGAGCCTCAGTGATTTTTGTCCATAGTCTTAAACATTGTACGATTGTTGAAATAAATTTGATTTGATTGACAAAGAATGACATTAGTTGAGGTTAATGTCATTTTGCCTGCCCAATGTAACTCAATGAAAATAAATGTCATTTAAAATAATGTCCATGACCCTAGCTGTCCTGAGCTATGAAATTGGAAAAATAAAAATATCTATCTTTTAACTTTAGAAACTTTGGACTACTGGAATACAAGTGGCTAGAGAGTTTCGTATGAATTTCACCGAGCCAGACAGATCTCTGACAGATATGTTCACCTTCACTTACGATTCTGCACAACACTTTTGCACAAGGAAACAGTTGCAAGAATGCGTTGACTGATTTTTAGGGTATAGAAGAAACTTGATACACCTGCATGGTACAAAACCGATAGTTAGGAGTCATGCGAAGCGCACTGTTTCGAAGCCCACAAGTTATTGGAACATTGCTGACGCGAACGTTAAGAGGTGACTCACCTTATAATCATTCTTTATATTGTCACGAGTGCAAGTGCACACCAAAATTCATTGAATGTGCAGTTTTGTAGGCATGGGATTGAAGAAATGTGTCTCATGACTGAGGCATGGCATATCGATAATTACGGTAGCGCATGCTTTACCCAGACCCCTATTAACTTGCACAAAAATTAAATCTAATGCCTTAACAATTATCTTTTATGTAGGCTACCACACATGCAAAACTAATTGCATATTGCATGGGCATGCACAGATAGGTTTTCGTGCCCTCTTTCTTTTCCGTTGTTGTGCACATCTTCAGTTGTTAGTAGGTGTTGTGGTCTCCTGACTTTCTTTTGCAGTGGTGTAAGTGCTTCTCCGATTGCTTCAAACTGCTACAAAAGAGAAATTCTGCTCCATGCTGCTACGAACAGTAATTTTTGTTAGTAATGACTCCAAACCTGCTCCAAAATGGCTCTAAGAGAATAAGAATGAGAAACTTTCACTGTCGGACCAGCTCAAGAAAGGGAAAAGAATCTGAGTACTACCATCCCAATGTCCGACAAGTGTGCAACATGATTGGCTCTGATCACATTTATGCAACAAGAACTAGCATTTTAAAATGCATATAGCTCATTTGGCTGCTGTTTTTTTTTCCAGCTTGAGCAAGCTTGTGCACTAAATTGTAAAGAGGAGCACGATTGCTTTTATCTCATGCTGATTATGTATACTGCTTGTTTGGAACAGTTGTGGGACTGTGGTTACTTCTAAAACGTGGTACTCAACTTTACAGGCTTGATTTATTTCTGTCACAAGTACGAGCATTTTAAGTATATAGTTAACTTCAGTGCATATTTTTGATAACCAGCCATCTTTTTGTTTATTTCATGAAATTTTCATTGATTGTTGCTTATCAAATAAATCATATTATATATGTATATTTGCGAGATGCTATGCTTTGAACACCAACTGGTGCACAGCGAATTTCGTGTCTGCTCCTAAAACACCAATAGCTGCTCCAAAGTAACGTTCTTTCCTCTCCGAAAACACTTATGACTGGTCCAAAAAGTGAAAAGTCACTTCTATGACTGTTGTGTTTGTGTTTGATCATGCTGTCTCTTTTAGAATGAACTGGTTAGACATCTTTCTCTAATTGTGTGCATGAACTCGCTTTGAACGAGAGGACATGTTCGTGCCATTTGTGCTTCTGTAGCCCAATGGCCTTCGGAGTTCCACTGGAGTTACGGGGTGCTCTGTTGACTCGACAGTGGGTTTACTCGATGGCCTTTGAAACCACCCGTGTGGTAGGTCATGCTCGACAGTTTAGTTAATCAGCTCGATGGCCTTCCAAATGCTTGTGCAACACGGGTGTGAGACATTATCACAAAGGAGCACGAAACATTGGCGCTTGTGTTTCGTGTGCTCATTCATGGTTTTGTCTTACTTTGTGGCACCGTTTTGTTATTATCAACCCCTAGAAACTAGCTCACTAGTAAGGTATGTCGACTGCGTGAATCGCTCTGCGCAGTTGCTCCGAGGGAGCTGCTTCTCCTGCCATCGTTTGCTGTCGCCACCAGTTGCTTGCCAGGTGACGCTGGCACAACTGCAGGTGCTCCAGTACGGCGCAGTTGGTGCAGTGCAAGAACTGGAGGACCTTGCCAACGAGACCCTGGCCGGCGACGACGACGACGACAAAGGTCGGCTCGCTCATGGTGGAGCCATTAGGGCCACAGTTCAGCGACGCATCAAGCAGTGTGTGGCATCGGTCGTTGATGGTGTTGGCGACATGGAAGAGGCTCGTCGGGCAGCAGGTGCGTTGACGTTGAGGCTTAAGTGGGGAGCAGTTATGGGGCCTAGTGGCTGTTTTACTTGAGCGCAGCACTTTGTATCTGTCTGTCTTCTATTAGAACCAATAAACTAACATGGCATGTAGAATAATAGAGAGCTGAGCTAGATGGTAATATTTATTCTAAAAGATTGGATGTGCAAACAAAGCCACAAGTAAGAAGTCAAGACACCACAAACGCCGTATAACTACTGCACACTAGCTGAAAAGAAAGAAGGCCCAAAAACCTATCTGCACACACTCAGGCAATATGAGGACCTATCAATCCGGCATGTGGGAGGGGTCTCTGTGAGAGAGAGAGAGAGAGGGGGGATAACTGTAGAGGGCACTTCATTTTTCTTTATGCTAGTTCATTGACTGTTGACTCGCGTATGTGCTTGGGTTCATTTGATCATTACTGTGCGTGTACAAAACTGGGCATGCACAAAACTGCGTATGTGCAAATATTGGCATGAAGTTACGCTGTCCACAGTCCAAAGATAGATTAGAAAGTGAGTCTCTGGTTAGTGATCTCTTATGTTCTAATAATCTCTGGTTGATGCAGCTGCCCCTCTGTCCCTTGTATATGTGGCCGTAGCTCAGAGGAGCCTTATTCATCACACCTGCAATGAAATCAGCAAGTTTGTTGGTGTGTTTTACGAAACAAATATCAGTTCGCTTCTTGTCTGTTACTTGTACAGTCTTTGGCTGCCCAGGGACACAAATTTTACCTACCTTATTAGCAGCCGTTAAAACAATATTAATAGACTCAAAACGATTGAATTCAAAGCTCGATACCCCTGAATTAATTGATGCCATAGTGCCAAAGCCTGGTGCGATGGAAGTAGTTGAGCTGGCTGCTTTAGGTAGCGTGGTTGGGACGGTCTGTGTTCAAAGCCAACTGATTGGCAGTGGGGAGTAAGTAATGTGGCAACACTGGTTGTGATAGGGCATGCATGAAGCCTCGATGTCTGTCATATGTCTACGGACCTGGAGTAGGCACACCACAATGCTGAGCAGGAGAAAGCATGGCTACCGTTATGGCATATTTGCCTTGCTGCAAAATGATGCTACGGAGGTAAGAACCAGTCTCCATGTTAAGGCTGGTGGGGCTTTTCAGGATTTTGAGGTTGTTTGAGCTGGTGTGGGTTCCCCATGGTACAGTGGCGATCAAAAGTTGGGAGACCACGGGAGCGCGTGGCCAACAGCACCATGGCGCCTTCACACGGCTAGCAGAAAAGCTTAAAAGCGCTCACTGTGAAAGCGCATCCTTTCCTACCTGCCAACCTGCGCTATCGCTCCCTTCAACTGCGCGCACATTGGAACTCCAGAGAAATCGCAAGGTGTCATTTTTGCATGTCCCGCGGAAGCACCGAGCAGTGATAACGGGACAAAAATATCTAGCTTGTAGGGGCAGCACTTTCTGGACGCCGCTTCTTTGCCTTCGTTCCAGATGTCCCACGGAGGCGAAAACACAGTGTTTGGCCAAAAAACAGCACTGCTTGGTAATCTTACCACATGCGTAGATGAAAAAAATAAAATAAAACTGATGCAATGTGCATGTTATCACCACCGCGGAGCACCAACCAATCAATCGCAAAGGGTGCCCACAACGAGAACTGCCCTGCAAGTTGAATAACTTTGTGGCGATATTATCGCTAGGTGCTTCTGCGGTGCATGCAAAAGTGACACCTTGCGATTTTTCTGTTGTTCCGGTGTGCGCGCAGTTGAAAAAAAGCGAAAGCGCAGGTTGGCAGGTAGGAAAGGATGTGCTTGCGCAGTGCGCTCTCTCGAGCGTAGCCGTCAGAAGGCATCGTGGTGTTGTTGGCCACGCACTCTGGTGGTCTACAAAATTTTGATCGCCACTGTACCTTCTAGGATCCTCTATTCCATTGGTTCTGTGTCCATAGTGCACTGTAGCAGTGGAGGCAGGAGAACAGAGTACTGCTACATTGATATACGAATATGAAACGCTTTTACTCTGCAGTCCACTATGCTTGCATCCCTCGCCACCTTGTCATCGTTAGTGCAACTGGGTCTTTACAGAAGTTTGGGTTTTGCCGAGGGCACCTAAAAAAAAGTTTAGGGCCATAATGTGTTTTCAGAAATGTACGCAGCATCACCTTCATTGTGTTGGGCTGGCATATTACACGCGACACTTGTGCTCAGTCAGATGTGATAAAGGCACAAGGTAACTAGACTGTGCTGTCAAAATCAATGATACAGTTAAACCCTGCTACAATGAATACCGCTTCATAAAATTTCCGCTATAACGAAAAATTTTTGGTAAGCTTGAAGCTGAACGTCCAGCTCTAGGCCGTCCGGCAGGTCGAGGATGCCGCTCCAGTCCAGGAACTGGGTGCTGCCATCTGAAGCCACCAAGACCAAACTGCTGGCCCACTGTGTCATATAAAGTCTTTTGTCTCTCTCCCTGTCAGCAGTTCATAGGAGTCAGCATAAATATTGTTACCACATGTGTAATTTAGGTATGTGCACCTGTGTAGCGGGGAACATGGTGGCGGCAGAAGAAGAGGACCTTGGTTGGTGGCAACTTCCTCTTCTTCTGCCACCACAATGTTCTCAGCTACACAGGGGCACATACCTAAATTACACATGTGGTAACAATATTCTCACAACAAGTAATGCTTTTTCTTCTGCCGTTCCGCTTCAACGAAATTGGACAATGCAATTCCAGGCCCAGATGTTTAACGCCACATAGTAAACACAATCTTTAACAATTTGATGCATTTTTCAGAACATGAAAATGTATCTACGAAGTCTTAAACTCGCGTTGGCACCACCACAAACCACCACTGTTTTCCAAGCATGAGGGCCGCCATTGCTTGATAGCAAGGGCAATGAGACTGCCTTGCTTTTGCCACTGGCTTGCTTTTTAGCCGAAGCTGGCAATTCAAAGCTGAAGCTCAGTCGCTCAGTAGAAAGTTTTCTACACGCTTCTGCTGGGTGCAATCCCGCGACGATGCCTTTTCCGATGCCAATGCTATTGGTTCTTTTTGTGCTTAGTCAGTGTGTTCACTGGTCAGAGGCGATGTTTGTCGCCAATATCTTCGATATCAGCCAGCTGTGATGAGTGGATGATAAGAATAGAATAGAGTAAGGCCAAAGGCTATGTTGCCACGCCTCCATCTCAACATTGTCGGATACCATTTGATGGCAGACAGCTGCTGGAGTTAACGTGTCAATGCAACTGTCAGGCTTATTCACAAAAGCCGTTGTGGGCATTGTTTTAACATGCTTTTCAACATAACGTTGCTTTTGCTAGGAAAGAAAAGGAAGCAGCTGACCATTTTTAAGTTTTCGGAATAAAACATTGTTTGTTCTGTTAACTCTGGTCAGCTATATTTTTTTATTTCGCTGCAATAAAATTTTCGCTTCAACGAATTTTTTTCTGCACCCCTTCAGTTTCGTTGTACTAGTTGGGCTCAACTGTATAGTAATAATATCAGAGGTCTTACACCCCAAAAGCACACCATGATTCTGAATGTAGGAAAGTAATTTGAAGGGTTCGTTTTTCTTTGTTAGACATAATATTGATGGGAACGAATAGGAAGTAATAAAAGCATAGCGGCTGTTATCAGAAGTTGTTTTAATGTCAGTGTGAAGAAAGAAAAGTGGACGAAAAGATTGCTTTGCGCTGGCGTGGTCACTCGATTTCCCCCTTTGTTGCGGCCCGCCAAATGCTCCTCTTCACCTGTGTGAGCGCTAGTTCCTTTTCAACCCGTTGCATCAGCTATGGTGCTAGCTATCGGCATGCAGGAGTTTCTCCCAGAGCTCCCGCCAGCCACAGTGTGCTAGCTATCTGCGCGGATTGTTTTGCATGGTTCTGATCGGTGTTTTGTCATGCTTCACTTGTGATGCACTCGTGAAGGGATTGCAGTCACTTTACGTGGAACAGAGGAACAGAGGTAGATGGCTCTTGATACATGTGCAAAATTTAATGCATTATGATCCTTGTTTTGCTATCGCTCATACGGTACCAAAGAATGATTTTTTAGCAACGTTGTTGTCGATGATCTGACTTCAATGCCAATTAAATAACCAAGATTCAGTTTATATTATAATTCTGCACGTACTGTTGCATTCACTTCTGCTGGGTGACATATTTATTTCCACGACATGAGTGGCCGGATAACATAAATTGAACAATGATCAGTAATGATTTTTCGTAAGCAAACAGAGATACGTACAATTTATTATGCAAATGTACACAGCTAGGGCAATACACCTAAATGAGTTGTTATGTTAATTATTACTTCCAGTGAAATGTGACAGTTCAGCAACTTCTGTTAGCAATGTGCGGCCTATGGCGCAGGTGCTACTCAGTGTGCCTGGAATCAAAAATTTGTTGGAGTAATCGGACAAAACTAAGGTCCTGACAGTATATCGCCACGTGTCCTAAAGTGCTGTGCTGCAACCGTTTCCCTTTATCTTTTTGTTTTCTTTACGCAGCCCGTTTGCACCATTAAACTGCCTTACAACTGGAAGAAAGTACACGTGCCAATTCATAAAGGTGGTTCTGGAAAAGATGTCGAGAATTATAGGCCAGTTTTCCTGACATGAATAGCATTCAAACTAATTGAACACGTTATTTACTCAGCTATCATGAATAGAATAATATCCAAAGTAAAGAACAGCATGGTATTGATGAGGGCTTGTCCTGTACTACACAACTTGTAGAATTATATCAGAATTTCTGGTGTGAAATTGATGTGGTCAGATAGATTGTTTGTTTTTAAAATTTTGGAAAAGTGTTTGGCATAGTTACCCACTTGTTTCTTATTTACGAACTTCAGCAACTAGGTATATGTAGTGATGTCAAATAAATGAAAAATTTCTCATCCGATCGCAGCCAGTGTGTTGGTGTTAAAAGGCCAGTCAACAGCATTCGACTTTTTTTTACACCCCCCAAACAAGCTCGGCAATTCGTAGAGTAGACCGCATCGACCACGTTTTCTGAATATTACAGAGCTGCACTGCGCAGAGCCTCCATTTCAAAAAGCAATTTCCGCACTCCTTTCCTACGCCTTACCAGTGCTCCTTGCACGCGCAGTGACCAAAAATTCTGCGATCGTGGATGTGACGCAGCACGCAGCTTATCCATGGGTCTAAGCCGGGTCTCAACAAACAAAAGTGAAGTCAACGACAGTTTCTGTTCCCACCCACAGCCACGACAGAGCTATTCAATCATATGAGTTGCGAAACTCCGCATAGGCTCCATACATGGAAGTAGGGACACTTCACTGATCCAGTTTTTGAGAGTGAGCAGATTGTTGCTCCGCTTATTGATCAGCACACCCACTACTAAGTGCATTATTTGTGTTCTGTGTTGCTGCTCCCAAGTGGCATGACAGTCTGCTGCCAAAAAATCGAACTCCAGAAAAATCGGGCCAAATTCATGTCCGGGTTTGGGAATGCAGTTTTGCTGCAAATTGTTTTCGGCTAAAAATCGAGCGACTGGGCCCCGGAGAAGCATCGGCACCAGGTAAACAGTAAACAACCAGGCATTGCAGCAAGCGGAAGCGCATTGCGACTGATCGAGTTGGCGGGTGACGTCATTTGCCAACGTCTTGTCACATTGTTGAAGTGGGCGAAGTGAGGACGACGGGCCGCACCTTCCCCTCCTTCTGAAGGAGAAGGGTGGTGAGGCAGCACGAAAATTTGAAACCAGCTGAATGCTATGTTCTAGCCCCTGTAACATCCTAATATAGCATGTATTCACAAAATTCTTGCGGCAGCATGTTCACGAAGCATAAGTGCACATATTTTTCTCTTCACAATCATTTTTTGGACCTTGGGGTTGTTTGCTGCATAGAGTTTCCTAAAATTAACTAGAGCGGACTCTGGCGCTGCGATCGTTCAGCGACCATGGGAATGATGGGTAGTACACACATTTGCCTAGTCTTCGTACTTGCAGACGGCGAATCGTACTTGTGGCTTCGTTTATTGCTGGTTACGGTATTGTTTTGAAGAAAAGAACGAACCCTTATGAACTTTGTGACCAGATTCGAAACGGTAAGCTTTAAAAAAATAAGGTGGTGAAGCACAACCGCTGAAAATTTGCTGATTTTTTGTTTCGTGAGAAAACAGTCCAAGCCACACGAACACACACGGAGCCAGAAGCACACCAGAAGTACGAAGATTAAACAAATGTGTGCACTACCCATCGTTCCCGTGCTCGCTGAAGCGCCGTGCGTTGCAGCTCTTGTAGACACTAGCGCCAGAGTTCCCTCTAGTGTATATCAGGAAACTTTATAATTTACTGGCCCTTTAATGGCAAAAAATGGACTTATGTAAACATCACTTCAGGTGTCCCACAGGGCTCTTTATTGGAACCTATATTATTTTTTTACATATTTCAGCCACATAAATTTGTGTGTTACCTCCACCTTATGACTGTTTGCAGATGACTGCTAAGTGTACCGAAATATATGTACGTGGTGTACGTGACAGCATCAGGGACACTTGAATAGAATTCGTGACTGGTGTAAACTGTGGAACATCTGTTTAAGTGCTAAAAAAATGCAGACATATGTGTTTCACTAAAAAGCAAAAACCACTGATAAAGAACTACTGTGTAAATAAGGTGTTGGTTACCACAGTTGATGTTTCTAAATACTTGTGGTGTCATTCTTTCCGCTGATTGTTCATGCAATGTGCATATCAGTAATATAATTGGTAAGGCTGGACGGGCGTTGAACTTTGTTCATCGAAACCTAAGATGTCGCGAGGTCAAATTGAAATGGAATGCATTTACTACTTGTGTAAGACGAATATTAGAATATGCGATCCCACTATGGGATTCACCGGAAGTCACTCTCACTTCTCATGTAGAAAGTATCTAAAACAGAGGGGCCAGGTACGTCCTGGGCAGGTATATCCTAAATCACACAGTGTCACAATAATCAAACAAGAATTGAATTGGGAGTTGTTGGCTTTGTGCCGACGGAAGTGAAAGCTGAAACTGTATTTTTATATATATAACAACAAAGTAAACATAAACAAGGATGCTTGCTTAATTAAAGACACCTTTTTATATTTCCAAGCGTTATGATAGCAAACTCAAAATCTGAGACCCCAGGATGTGCATGTTCACCCCTGTCACACTTGGCGACTTAAGGGCACTTTGAATGAGTGTCACAAAGTGTCATTTTGGCTGTTTGCTGCTACACGAGAAAGTGAAGTGTATTTTGGAAATGATGGCAGCAGCAATTGATGTATTTGTAGCACAATGTATGGTTATTTTTTCGCCTGTGTCTCATCATCGGACCACGTTGTCTTCGTGGAAGTAGCACCTGTGGCACACGCCATCGCAAATGAGAACTAGAGAACGACTCACCTACACATGCGCAAGTGTGCCTGGAAGTAAACAACACGGCGGAAGCAGCCATTGCTGTGCATGTGCTGCCGCATCACCCTAGCGAACGTGGCTGCAGACTGCCCGATGGTGAGAGTAGCCAGCATTTTGTTGTATTTTATTACTTGTTTTATAACTACCAATATTCAATATAATAAAAACAATAGTTTAAAAATAGTATGAGCGCCGCTTTAGGCAACTGCGTATTCCTGTACAAGCCACTGGTACCGAGGCTACACACTTCATCGCAGCTGTCGTAGCGAAATGAGGTTGGTGACCACACTTGCCTGCAAGTGTACTTCGCAGTGAGTGACACTAAACTTTCTTGTTTGACAGCGCGCAAATGACACTTGCGGTGAAGTGTACTCGCTCAAAGTGCACTTAAGTTGCACGTGTGACAGGGGTATAACTCCTTTTTTTTCAGAAGTGTGTAGGAGAGTGAAATTTGCTTTCTGAAAAACAAGTATGTTGTGCAAATGAAGACTTACTTGTATCCCTCTTAAACCCTTCCTGTTGTAATGCCCAAAAGCAGTGCAGGGTAATTCTTGAAACAAGAAAAAAAAAAAGCTTGAGCCCATCTTTTTGCTTTCTGGCTTGTGAAACTTGCGTCTAGACATACGTGTAAATAAATGGCATTTTGACTGTCCACCTTTTGAGTCTGCGTTTGTTTTGCGGTAAAGGCGCCTTATGATACTTGGACAGTTTCATGTACTTTTTGTTTCTCATAGCGTAAATCGAGGTGGGGGGGGGGGGGGTGATCTATACTTGAGCCTGACCTATATTCTGGTTTTTACGGTATTTGGAGACTGTTTATAGCGCTCAGTCGCAGTTTTGGTCTCAGATAGTGCTGTTACAGGCAAGACCGAAAGTGTTTTCCGTGTAAACATCGTTGGCAATGCGACCACACAAAACTGCATGCACAGGAGCTCCGTATTGAAACATTTTTTTTCAACGAAGGCTTCCTGCATGCTGCCTCTGAATCATCGTAAACATGTGTGACCCCTCAGAAGTGCACTGCTGGGGACATCAGCCTTTGTAAACCTTTGCAAGGCTGCTCCCTCTTTCCATCGAAAACGTCTGCTGGAAGAGAGCGCTCGCAAGGATCCGATTGTGGCAGCCAACACAAATTTGTGAGGCAGGTGGCAGTTGGTCGTTTACACGAAAACCAAAGCTGCACTTCATGTGCAATGGCACAACATGCACTTTAAAATTATTTTATATATGGTCTAGTCTATATTATCAAATACTTTGTTTTAGATGATGCATGTGTGTTGACATGAATCTGTATGTACCCCAAGTTATTGGGCCTTCAACATTTTGTGTTAGTGCTCCTCTAAGGTGGTCATTCCATCTCTAAATGCAGCAAAGCATTTAATTAGTTACTGCAATAAGTTGGGCCAATAGAGCTATAAATTTGTGTGGCTGTTACATGCATCGCTATGACTTCCACTGCTAATTAATTATATTTATCACACCCTCAAGCACCATCAATTGGTACAATGCAGAGTGGAAGAACAAAGGTAAAAGGTAGAACAGAAAGAAGACAAAGCTGAGCTTCAGATACGATATGGTATAAAAGATAAATAAATACCCACAAAAGTCAAAGGCAAACACATGGAAGTTCTCATTATAAGTTGGGCCAATAGAGCTATAAATTCGTGTGGCTGTTACATGCATAGCTATGACTTCCACTGCTAATTAATTATATTTATCACACCCTCAAGCACCATCAATTGGTACAATGCAGAGTGGAAGAACAAAGGTAAAAGGTAGAACAGAAAGAAGACAAAGCTGAGCTTCAGATACGATATGGTATAAAAGATAAATAAATACCCACAAAAGTCAAAGGCAAACACATGGAAGTTCTCATTATTAGGGCAACAACTATTACACCAATTGATGCCTAGATGTAGGTCTCCAAAATGTTAGATGTAGAAGCAAGTGCCCGGTGTTGATGATGCTCTGCAGGTGTGAAGAATGTTGTGGAGTGTAGGCAACGCATCGTGAAGACGTTCATCCGTGAGCACCTCATGGGAGCGCCGCGCAAATGCCCGCATTGCGGTGAACTGCGTCGGGCCATGACCATCCAGAACAACAGCCGCTTCGTCTACACCAGCAAAATTCGACCGGTTGGGAAAGCACCTGCCCTGTCTGTGACGTTTAGGTGAGTTGTCTCATATTCGTTGATTCAGTGTGTCTGAAAAAGTTCTGTTTGAACTATGTGTTTCAGAGGAACACTCAAGTGAAATATGGCAGCTATTGTCTGCACTTTCTGCTGGTACGTTTGCTTATGCTGAGTTGCAATAATGCGAGAAGGTGGGCTAGTTGGTTTGGCTGCATACTGAGACTCTTGTGCACACTTCACTAACACACAAAGGAAAGGTTCGCAAGAACCAGCGGTAATGAGAAGTTGTTGATGACATACACTTCTGCAAAAGCTTGGATAACATTAAACATTGTCTATCTTTGTATGGTTTTGTGGGTTTCTAGTCAATATTTTTGAAGTTCACTTTAATCCAAGAATTCTTGTGTGCCAACAAAATCCAGTATGGTGTTCATTTTGTTTCTTTCAGCAATGGCTCCCTCAAAGTAGTGGAAATGAATTGTTAAGTACATATGTGTCTTTTGAGAAAGCATCTTGGGAAAGAGTATGTGCCAAGTTTTTACATACCTACTATAAGTAACGCATGCTGGGTCTGTATTGCGAAATATTCACATATGGCAACAATGTCCCTATGAAGGACAGGGAGCTTATGGGAAATCTACTGATGCATTGTTTTCCTTGCATGGTGACTGCTCATTATGTCAGCCAGCTTCATGGCATAGCACAGACCAAGCTGACAGGACGCCAGCATTTCTGCCACGTTCCTGCAGTGGTTCCTATAACGGCAAGGATGTGTGAGGACATGAGAAACAGCAGTCCTTCTGTATGTTTTTTTCAAGCTGTTTGGGAGCAGTAGACTCTCACACACGTGATGAGGATCTTGTGGACTTTGTTGCGAGGATTGGCTTGAGGTGGCAGACTTATGTTAGACATTTTTTTGTTTATTTCTTCAGTGATATTGATCGAAGCTGCACAAGATTATGCAGTTTTTTTCTGCTGATTTCATATATTTAAGTAGTTTTCCTGTAACTCATGTTGTTTCTGAGATAACTTAAGTCCACCACCTGTTGTTTAATGCCACCATAGAAAAAAATGTGATTAATTAAAAGTGATATTTAAAATATGCCAACATAGGCTAAGTACTATAGATTAAAAGTGTGCAAGAGTTTTTTGTTTTTAGGCTTTTCTTGGTTATATTACAGCAAATTGAAATCTATTTTCAAAAGCAGTAAGAATTGTGTTACAGTTTTGATCAGTAATTAATTAAAAAGACTTGTGCTCTAAATTCTGTTTTCATACTTGCATTCTACACACATACAGGTTTGCATTGCAAAAAGAATTATTGTTGTACCTGCCCTAGATGCAGAGATGTTGAGGCCTCAAAATTGAACAGTCATAAATTTACTTGTTTTGAGAAAAATGGAAAAACTGAAAGCACACAGCTTCTTCAAAAAGCAACAGTCATGGTGCGCAAGTTTTGCAATCCTCAGAAAGGTGCTCATAAATTCGTAGCAGAGCTTCTAACGCAGGTGCTGGCAAATTATAAAGAAGCCTCGAAGATGGTCCCCATTTTTCTTCTTTTTTCTTCTTTAAAACTTTATTTTTTATCCTGTACATGAGGCAAGTGCGTCAACCTGGCTATTCCCATGACGGAACAGAGAGGGCGAGCCTCCTGGCCATGTCGTGGGCGTACTTGACAGCCAGGATTTGATTGTCATAAGCTGGTGATCTGATGAGCCTTTCGAAGCGTTCACGCTTAATACCGGCCCCAGCGAACTGCAGTCCCAGAGAATGTGGTCTAATGTGCATGCATTTTCGTTGCAGGCTTTGCATGTAATTCCTATTTCTTCTCCTCCATACCGCTCACTGATTCGAACCAGTGAATAGTACGATTTTGTTTGTAGTTGTTTAAGTGTTATGGCTTGTGATCTGTTTAAGTTTGCGTGGGGGTGCGGATAAATTCTCCTGCCTAGCTGCAAGTGTTTAGTGATTTCATTATATGTGGCGAGTTTATCTTTGTGTAGTGAAATCAATCCAGCGAAGTCGGGGCTATTTGTAAAAGCGTGCCGGTCGGTGAGATCGCGGGCAACACTGTTGGCTGACTCGTTTTTTTTGCAGGTTCTGTATGTTAACAGCACCAAGAATCTGGACAGTTAGAATGACATTACAAAAAATTTACCACTTCTTGGTGTGTGAAAATTTGCAGAGATAGAAAAATACTTGCAGAAATCAAATATGTAAATTAAAAAAAAAAAAACGAATTTTTTTGTCACGTTTTGGTCCCTAAAAACCTGCCCTAGGGACCCAATGCTCCATGCTAGTTTGCTGTCTTCCTGTGATATATCAGCAGCTGGTTTATATGTCTTCTCTATCTGTAGGCGCACGCACGATGGCTTTGAAGAAGAGGACGAAGTTGTGGCCGTAGAAGAAGAGCGCCAGGCCCAGCAGAAGAAGGCTGAGGAGGATGCAGTGACTGGCGCCCTGTCGTACTTGACTCCCGTGGAGGCTCGTGCCCACCTGCGGGAGCTGTGGACCAAAGAGCGGTCGCTGCTGCAGAACCTGTTTGGCATCCTGGCCCTCGCATCTAGCTCACACGAGAGCCCTGTCGACATGTTTTTCCTTGAGGCCCTGGTTGTCCCTCCAACACGGTTTCGCCCAGTGAGTTCTCACCTTCAAGTGCTTCATTGTACGAGTGTGAGGGCACACGTTGGTGCAAAGTTGTTGCGGTTTCCAGGTTGTCCTGCATAGATTTAATGGGATGCCTGATGAAAACGCAATTGCACTCACAAGAGAATAAGCGTGTCACTTCTATAGTGTTACCCTCCACATCAGTTGCATATCACCCTTTCCTTACCAAAGATTTAACTGAGCTCATGCATGCTGAAAAAGAGTGGTATACAGTAAAAGAAAGCGTGGATTTTGTTCAAGAGAGGACTGTGTTCAGGTAACAGAAATTAGAAAATGAACTCCTTCTCAGGTGCAAGTGGTGCATGCCAGCAACACTAGTGCTCAGAAAAAAAAAAGTAAAAAGGTGAACGGGTGTTTTCCATATTGCTGTTTGCAGAGGCTGCACATCTACATTGCACCACACACACACATTCCGTTTCTCCTTGGCCGACCACTGTTGCCCATTAGCAAATATATGCGCAATAGTGGCAGCCAGTCACCTTATGCCACATTCTCCGACACTTCGTTTTCACTACTCACAGACATAATGCTGGGTACCCAGACAGTTGTTAGTCCTTTTTTCATCAACCTTCACAGTACCCGCTGCCGAGATTGTGCAGGGGCTTTCACAACATAGTCAACATATGGGTGATTGTGTTGGCAACGGAACTCAATGTGTCTCATACACACCTGTGACTAGCACCGTTCTCATCACTGTGGTCAGTGATAAAAAAAAATTGCAGCATATCCACGAAGTGAATGATGACGAGTGGGCGAAACTCCGGGGGATCACTAACCCCTGTACGTTGCCCGCTCCATCATAGAAAGACGTGACAACTTGTGTATACATTATATACAAATGTCAAATGTTTATTAATCACAATGCGCATGTGGTGTTGAAATGTGGGCAGTGGCTTCTTTTCATTATGACCGCGGAAACACCGCAGAAATCTCATTAACAGCGTGGAAATCTCATGGGATTGGTGGTTTTTTTTTTGGCTCCTTTCGCTATAGCACCTTCAAATATGATTTTTCTTTCTTTCTTGAAAGAGATAACAACTTAAGATATCATTATCATCAGAATAATTATGCCAACCGCAGGACAAAGGCTTCTCCCATATTTTGCCAAAAACTTGTTCCTGTGCTTGCTGCTGCCGCTTTATGTCATCTGCCCACCTAACTTTGCTTCCCCCTCATCCGCTTGCCTTCTCTGGGAATCGAGTCTATTACCCTTGATGGCCAGCGGTTATCCTGCCGACGTGTTACGTGCGTGGCCCAAGCAAATTTATTCTCCTTGATTTAACTATGATATCCTTAACCCTGGTTTTTTCTCTGACACATTTTGCTTTCTTCTAGTCTGTTAAGGTTCAATTCAATTCAATTTATTTGCATTGAATTGAATTTTGTCTGTTAAGGTTACACCTATCATCTTCCTTTCCATCTGTCGCTGAGTCGTCCTCAATTCAAGCTGAACCCTCTTTGTAAGCCTCCAGGTTATTGCTCTGTTAGTAAGTACGAAATGTCTCCTGACTGGTAGGGTACCAGAATCTTAGAAGAATGCTAATGTCATTTTAATCCATAAAAAACAGGACGACAAGGTCTTGAAGAATTACAGGCTTATCAGCTTGCTCTCCGTTGTATGCAACCTATTTACAAAGATAATTGGTAACGAAGTTTAGACAACATTAGAATTCAATCAACCAAAGGAACAAGCAGGATTTCGAACATAAGATATATAGATATATACCGTATATTACTTGCATTATAGGCCCACTTTTTTTTCAGAAAATCTGGCTCGAAGTTAGGGGTGAAAGTTTAGAAAATTTTTTCGACCCGGTTTTCGTGCTTTAAATCTGCACATTTATAAAGTAAAAGGGTACTTTATCGTTTACCGATTAATTCGGCATAAAACAAACATACCCACGTACCTTTTAATGAACAAGCCAGAGCCGTGAACTACACACACACGCGTAAAATTTATTTACTTAAAAGTCGTAGGTGTTCCTCCTTTTCCCTATTCGGAGTCTGAGTTGGAGAGCGCAAGCTCATCCTCGTCGAGCGGGGATATGTTTTCAGTGTTCGAATCATCCGCACTCCCCTACATTTCATCCTCACTCGCATCCAGTGCGTTTGAGATACCAGTCTTCTTCCAGCTTTTCCAGGCGATTTTGTCGGAGATTGCCTGCCACGCTTCCACGATCCAAGCGCACAGCATTTCCGCAGGTGGCCTCTTAATCTTACCACCTGGAGTCAGTTGATGTCCTCCAGCCATCCTGGCGGTGTACAGCCTTCAAATATTGTCCTTGAAAGGCTTATTCAAGAACATGTCCAATGGCTGCAGTATCAATGTGAGGTCGCCCGAAATCACTGCCAGATCTGTGCGCGGCTCCTTTAGCTCATCTCGTACGCGGTCTACTAGGTGCCCACGAAAACTGTCCAGGACAAGCATGGCTTGGAACAACAGACCACCCAGCCGCCGACCCCAGACTGTTTTCACCCTATCCACCATGAGTTCCGCGCTCATCCAGCCTTTTTCCTGGACTTTGATGTAGGTGCCTTGACGAAAATGTGCCTTTGGGAGCGTCTTACATTTAAAAATAATGTAAGGCGGTAGCTTGCGCCCATCCTCTGTCAGCGCCAGCGTAACGGTGCATTGTTGTTTATCAGTGCGACACGTTCTGACGATGACGTTCTGTGCACCTTTTTTCTCTACTGTCATGTTTCGCGGCATATCAAGGCAAATGGGGTCTGATCAGCCTTGCCAATCTTGGACAAAATGAAGTCTTTCTGCTGTCGGAGCTTTATAGCGAAACGGTGGAAGTCCACCACTTTGTCCTCATATGCTGCGGGCAAGCGCAGGCACAAGGTGGTCCGACTTTCGCAGTGCAAGGCCATGGCGCCGCATGAAAAGAGTTGTCCATCTAAAGCTGGCTTTGAACTCTTCTGCTTCGATGCACTGCGCTTGGGCTATTCTGCACGCCTCAGTCTGCAAAATATTCGGTAAGCACTGCACAGTGTTGTCATAGCTCTCGTATATGCCGGACCAGTTGCTCTTCGATGTTCGTATACCTGCCGGTCTTGGCACCGTGGAAAGCCCGTCGTGTCTTCTTTGTCGCCTTAAGTTTTTCTTCTTGATCCTTCCAGTACCGAATAACTGGTTTCTCCAACACCGAAATGCCTGCTTACAGCCGGGTCGCCGTGCTCCAGCGTGTACTGCACTGCCTGCAGTTGAAATCCAGGCATGTAACTTGTGTACTTCCCCATGGTGGAACCAAAGTTGAATACATGACCACAACATACTGCACACTGCGTGCAAAATGGCGTTTTTTTTTATTTGATGGTGATGATGGCGATCGAGCCCCCGGCATTGTATACGTGACCTCCAAGGAGCGCGGCAATTTGGTGGGTATCGGTAATTGATGGAATAACCGTTTTTTTTTTTTTTCGCTCATGGAAGTTTTTTTTTTTTCAAGTTTTATTTCGACAAACACGTTGGTTAGGTCGTTGCACTTCAATTTTTTTTATTTGCTCCTTGATTTGCCTTCTTTTTTCTTCAGGGTACAGGGACTGCGTTCCAACTGTACCACTGGGGGGTGGAATCGTTTGTGATCACGGCAAAGTTCGGGGTGGGCCTGCGTGGAATTTAAAAAATCTAATTTTCCGCAACCAAACTAAGGGTGCACCTATTATGTGAGTTAATACGGTATATAATGTTTATTCAGAACTTCTTTAGAAGAGATAGATGGCTGGGTGGAGGTCAGGGCATCCCCCTTATGTAACGCCTCTAATCAATAAGTATTAAAGTGGTGTACGAGTGACACTGTTTTGGAGTATGTGTGAGTAGACGCAATCATAAACATGAATCTAGGTAAGGCTGGTGGTAATGCTGAAAATGAGTAGATAGGATTATAGGCCGACCAAAGAAGTGGAACACGCTCAGACTTACTCGGACTCAAACTTCTCAAAATATTCTTAAGCCAAAATTATTCATACTCACTCTCACGAACGTTTTCTTCAAGCAAACTCACCTGGACTTAATCTCACTAAAATATTTCTCACCCATGCTCACCCGTAGCTTGATCTGAGTAGACTCGTGAGTGAGTTCGCCTACCTATGCTCTGGACTAACCATTGTAAAAATCTCTCAAGCTTCTCCGTGGGGCTGCAGGCAATATGGACGTGTGTGTCGTCATACATTTCCCTCTGGTGTTCTTGTCGTTTGCTCTGCTACAGTGAAACTTAAGAAACCAGCAACGAGACTGTGTATCCACTCTTAATAACCATTTCAACTTTTCTTTTCTTTATGAGAGTGTTCTCGTTCTGTGGCGCAGATGAACTTCATGAATGGCCGCAAGTACGAAAATGCGCAGACGGTGAGTCTGTCGCGGGTGCTGCAGTGCTGCGACAGCCTGCGGGCCGTGCTCAAGCTGCTTGCACGCAGAGGCACCAATAAGTCAGAGCCGCCCGAAGATCAGATGGAGATAGAACGGCTCGAGGTAGGAAACACAGTTTACTGCTCTCAGTGGAGATGTTCATTGTCTTTGGCCAATTCTTGCATGACATTTGCATGAGGTCAGCATTAGTACTGTGGTACCTTTAAATTTAATTGCATTGGGACCTAAATTAGTTGGAATAAAATTGACTCAAATGAGAGAGAGCTGCTCAATGAAATCAGCTGCATTTTAATGTGGGTACTTCCTGCGTCACCCCTGCGAGCCCAGAGACAATGGGCAGGTGCGGGCCTCATTTGTAGAAGGGTGACCGCTCTGTGCACGGCTAGTGCTGAAGCCTACTCCTGATCCAATTGCACACTGTTGCTCCTAATAGCTTGCCAAGGTTTTGCAAATGGGTAAATCAGATGGGCCGTAGCTATGTTGGCTGTACCACAAATCATGTCGATCAGTTTTTGTCCTGTGCTGTTTATTTTATCTCTTGTATTTTGCATGGACATTCTTCTGTCAAACTGGCAGATACTTTAATAAAAGATTGAAGAAAAGAAGTGGAAATTAAGGGGTTCGTTTCTCTGTGTTAGACAGAATATTAATGAGGGCTAACAGACAATGATGCCAAGGAAAGTACAGTGAAACTTCGATTATACGTCTCCCGGTCATGCGACGACCCGCGTTTTACGACGAATTGGCTTGGTTTCGGTAAAACCCCCATAGAACTAATGTATTGAAAACCTCAATTCTACGACGCAAATTTACGCCGGCCCCGCCTCGTACGATGCTTAGCTGGACTGTCCAAGGGGGGAGAAAAAAAAAAAAAAAAAAAAAAAAACACACGCAGGCTGCCACGCAAGCACACTGCGGCCGGATGAAAAAAAAGTTGGGAAACCGAGGAACCGAGTTCGTTCTTCCGCACGCTATAGCACACTATCCACGCTGCCACCACAGGGCCTCTTCAATTTTTCGACACGCTGTTGGCCATGGCTAGCCAGAGCCAATGTTGTCCAGAGCGAGCCGGAGCGCATTCGTTTTGCTTAGTTGCATTGCACTGCGCACTTCCGTTGGGGCCTTTTTTTGTTTTGTTTTCTGCCTTCTTTTGGGTGGTTTTGTAGTGACAGCTGTAAGCAGGTAACATGGCAGATAATTTCGAGCTCGCTTTCTAGTATGCGATAACTTTCTCTAGATTTCGCGTCGTTGTACTGGACGCGTTGAACGGCGATTGTTGAGCCTGTCTACGTTTGGGACAGCCGCGGGAACTGGAACTAGCTGCTGTCTAGCTACCAGAGGGCTGGGGAGTTTTAGCCCCTCGCAATTGGTCAAAGCTTGCGCAGACGTACGCGCTTGCAAAAATCGAATGGGCCCACTATCTTATTGCCTTTCTGCCATTCCATCACGTGTTTGCCTCATCGGTGGGTTGTGCGCTGCAGCTGCTGCGTCTACGTGCAAAATTTTCAGTATTCAAACATTGGTGTGCGAGGAAGCTTTCGAATTCTTGGTTGCGAGTGCTGCGTCTCGCAATGTCGCGGAACCGAAAACCGGTGACGTTTGGAGAAAAGCTTCGCATAATCGAGGATGCGGAGAAGCGGAGCGGAGCAACAAAGGCTAGCCTTGCCCACGACCTGAACATTCCTGAGTCGTCGCTGAAAACGATCCTCGCAAAGAAGGACAGCATCCTACTAAATGCGGCAAAGTTCGGCCTGAACAGGAAGGCCGCGAAAGATGGCAAATATGCTGCCATGGAGACGGCCCTCGTTGAGTGGTTGCGTCAGGCCCGCAGTTCAGGAATTGCCGTGGATAGCGCAATTTTGAAGGAGAAGGCGGAGACAGTTGCATTGCGTTGCAGCATTGATGACTTTGAGGTCTCCAATGGCTGGTTGGATCGCTTTAAAAAATGCAGTGGAGTTGTGTACAGCCGCTGCTGTGGAGAGAGCTCGTCAGTCAGCTCCGACACTGTCGAAAAGTGGACTGCATTGCTGCTGGCATTGATATTTATTTATTTATTTATTTATTTTCAGATTTACTGCCAGCCTTTGAAAAAGGCCTTTGGCAGGAGCGGGCAGAACAAATAAAAGAATGCGAGAACATACGCAAATACGTCCACAAAGCAACCGCAACAATGTGCGGGAACAAAATAAAAATAAAAATATACAATTGCGCAATCAACAAAGTGACAGCAGGTACTATCAACAACCTGTTTGGTACCAAGCCAGAGCTATACTGATAGAAACAATTAATAATATACAAGACATGACCGGAAAGAGCAGGAGTAATCTGGATTGTACAAGAGGACACTGTAATTAGTAACACCACCGAGGTGCACCGCTAAAACAAAGCAGAGTTACAATGTGACACACTCAACAACAACAATAAAAAAAAAACATCAGAACGACATTATTGTTTCACAATCACATATCAGTTGCAGATGTCGCGATACTAGGAAAGCAGAGTGACGATAAAGATACAAAAAAAATTACAGATAATCTGACAATGCTTTGGCAAAAGAATTTAGTGTATTACAATCAATTACATTGGATGGAAGTCGATTCCATTCACGCGTTGTTCTCGGAAAAAAAGAGTTTTTGAACGTGTCTGTTTTACAGCTAAAATCCTTTATCTTTTTCGTGTGGTGTGATCGCGTCGAGTGCTTACAAACCTGGTCGATAAAATTACTCTTGTCTATTGCCAGCTTATCATGGTAAAGGGAGAACAAAAACTTGAGCCGTTCACGCTGACGTCTCTTTTGCAATGTATCCAGCTCTGATTCTGGCAATACGAGCCGTCCGACGTGTTCAACGCGGACGAAACTGGATTATTTTATAATATGCAGCCAAAGCAGACATTAACATTCAAAGGAGAGAGCTGTCGCGGGGGTAAGCGAAGCAAACAGCGTCTTACTGTATTTCTTTGCACTAATGAAGACTGCTCAGAAAAGCTTCCTGCCCTCGTGATCGGCAAGTTTGTGAAGCCGCGATGCTTCAAGAATTTGAAAAGGCTGCCGTGCCAGTACATGTTCAACCGGAAAGCCTGGATGACGGCTGCTATGTTTTCAACATATCTGCAGCAGCTGGACTCAAAAATGGGGGCTAAAAACAGAAAGATTCTTCTTCTGCTTGACAATGTGCCATGCTATCCATTAGATACGTCGCATTTGAGAAATGTGAAAGTTACATTTCTGCCCCTCAATTGCACTAGCCAGCTGCAGCCACTTGACGCCGGCGTCATCAAGTGCATGAAGCAGAAATATCGGAAGTTTCTGGGGCAGCGTTGGCTGGTGGGTATGGAATGCAAGCAGTCAGATAAGAAGCTTTCTGTGCTTGATGCAATGCACTACATTGCTAGTGCATGGGACGCAATCACGGAAGAAACCTGCTTCAGGCACTGCGGCTTTAATAGAAGTGGTGCTTGTTTTACCTGTGAAGCTGCAGTGCCTGTTGACGACGAACCAGAGTTCGGCAACCTGGAGCTGCCTGGATCCTTCGCGGACTATGTTGGTGCCGACAACGACGTTGCAGTGTGCAGTGCAGTGTCGCTGGATGACATTATCGAAACTGTGCGTCCTGACACTGCGGGAACTTCCGACAAAGAAGAGATGAATGACACTGCAGAGGCTAGTGCGTTCGTTCCGACGTACGCGGACGTGTTGTGCTACGTCGACAACATTCGGCGGTTTGCTTGCGCACGCGACGAGATCGGCAACTTGCTGCCACATGTCGCAGCTCTCGAAAGAAAGCTGATGCATCGTGGCTGGGCAAACTCGCAGAAAAAATCACAGATGTTTTTAAAAGGCGAGAATAAAGATTTGTTCACACCTCCGATAAAATGCGTGGTTGTCATTTTTTGAAGTAATTTAATCTACCTTCATCAGAGCAGCGTAGATTTGTGCCGCGGACTTTCTTACGCATTATGTGACAACTGTTGTGGGGCAACAACGACCATCAGTGCCTATATTCTTGGTTTTTCGATTATACGACGCCCGGATTATACGACGATTTTGCGTGGCCCCTGAAAGTCGTATAATCGAAGTTCCACTGTATAGGGATGTTATTAGCCGTAATTTTTATGTAAAAGGGAAGAAAGACAGGTAGACAAAAAGATAACTTGCCACTGGCAGGGGCCGCACCTGTGACTTTCGAATTATGCATCCGATGCTCTACCAGCCGAGCTACAGCAGCAGTCATCTCTCCGTGCACTTTGTGAGAAATATCTGCATATGACTTGCTCTCTGTTGCCATTGTCACATTTTACTCTTCAGAATATTCCGAACTAATACAGTCAGCCATTCTTTGCTATTAAAGTGTCTGTTTCTGGTACCCTCTGCATTCGTGACCATGCATGGTTATCAAGGGTGCAGTGGGTATCATGTTGTCCATGTGAAGTTGGTAAGCGCAGACTGTTGCGCGGGTTGCAAACTCATCTTGACGTTGGTGCGCGAAAAAAAACGATAGCACGGAGAGAGGGATACAAAACACAGTTGAAACTATCAACTGAGAATTCATTGCAACAGTAAACAGTTAGATCAACATGTGTTGATGAAATGGTTAGATACTGTATTTACTCGAATCTAGGCTGACTCAGATTCTAATTTGTTGAAGCAATACTTCTTTGCAGACTAGTTAGTTCATACATGAAAAATCGACTGGCTGCGCAAACTTGAAGGAAAATGAGGAGGGAGACAGGAAATAGCAGGGACTACCAACTGTTTATTGTCAATTCATGAAACCAACATATAGGCATGCTACGCTGCGCATCCACGATGTGGGGCCGCTGACACTCTCTGCAAAGTTGTTTGCGCTGCGTGGTTGCACGTGCCTCGCCCAAAAGCCGCGTTTCGGGTTACAATCACCGGGCGGTAGGTGGCGTTGTGTTCGCGTTGTAGGAAGCGAACCAGGAAATTGACTGGTAAATACTTAGAAAAGAGCAGGTGGCCAAACCAAAAAGAACTATCGGTTAAGAAGAAAGTGAAGAAAACGGAGACTGACATGTGGAGCATTGGCATGATTAAGAAGTCCGCACTAGAGATCTATCGAACTTTTAAGCAGGAAATTGCC